CCCAGGTTCGATTCTGGCCAAGGGCACATGCCCAGGTTGTGGGCTCGATCCCCAGTAGGGGGCGTGCAGAAGGCAGCCGATCATTGATTCTCTCTCATCATTGATGTTTCTATCTCTCTCTCCCTCTTCCTTCCTCTCTGAAATCAATTAAGAAATGTATTAATAAAAAAAGAAATAAATAAAGGAACTAGGAAAGTTTACCAAAAAGAAATCCATAGAGGGCAAAGGAGCATCATTAGAGTGATCCCCCCAACACTAGGCACATCCAAGCAGAGGTAACAGCAACCAGCCAGACAGGAGACAAGGAAATGCCTGTCTGGAGTGCAGGTTTGACCAGATGAGTGACTAAGAGGATCCCTATAGCCCCAGCACTCACCCTTCCCTCCCCAGAAGGCCACATGTGGGAAGAGAAAGGGCCTGTTGCCTCCGCTGAAATGTTCTTCCCCTAGATCTCCCCGGGCCTGCTCCCTCTCGTCCTGCAGTCTCTGCTCAAATGTCACCTCCTCACAGGTGCCTTCCTGAAGCACCACCTTAAAAGTGCTGTGCCCCAAATCATTCTCTAACACACATCCCTGTTACAGCATATGTACCCACTTCTCACATCTCTTTGTACACCTGCCCATGGTCTACCTCCCCTCTTTTAGAAGGTACCCTCCACGCCCAGCTGGCATGGCTCAGTGGTTGAGCATTGACCTATGAACCAGGAGGTCACAGTCCGATTCCCAGTCAAGGCACATACCCAGATTGTGGGCTTGATCCCCAGTGTGGGCCATGCAGGAGGCAGGCAATCGATGATTCTCTCTCATCATTGATGTTTCTATCGCTCTCTCTTTCTCCTTTCCTCTCTGAAATCAATTTTAAAAATATTTTTTTTTAAAGAAGAAGAAGGTACCCTCCTGGACTGCAGGACCTGCTCTGCTCCTTGCTCATCCTCCACACCTAACTCCATACCAGGCACACAGAAGGTGCCCCATGGATGTTTGCTGAAAGTAAATAAATGAAATCCCGGCTCTGCCTCTCACTAGGTGTGTGAACCTGTATTAGTGCCTTTACCTCTCGCAGCCTCATCTGACCATCTGTAAAATTGGCACTAAACTACTGTAGCCATGAGGCTAAAATGAAATCAAGGAATTTGTCCCTTGTAAACTGCTGTGCTAATGTCAGCCATTACTAGTAATCATGAAAAGTTAGTCACTCAATTCCCAAACCGAGTTTGTGCCTCTCCAGACTAGACAGGCACTGTGACATCTCCAGCTCCTTTTGAGAAAAGAGCACCTGCCCTCACACCTATACTTTTCTGGCAAGAGTGCTAGGTTTTTATTTTAGTCTCTAAAATCAGAATATGAAGGCCCTGGATTCATCCCGCATTTCCTGAGCAAACTCTGTATGCCAGGCACGGTGCTGGGCCATGCGGCATCCTCCAGGAATAATGCGGCCCCATGCTAGAGGAACCCAGGGCCTGGGTTAGGAGAGGTGGGCGACACTGGTAACAGGACCAGAGGTGTGGGAAGCGTGGCAATGGAGGGCTGTGCCAAGTGGACACCTGAAGGAGAGAACCTGTCCTCGGAGGTCACTCATGCATCCAACAAACATTTCCCAAGCACCAACTACGTGGTAAGCACCATTCTAGGTGCTGGGGACACAGCAGTGAGCAAGACACGTAAGACCCCACCTCCCATGAGGCTTCCTTTCTAATGAGGAGACAATAAAAAAGTAAAACAAATAAACAAACAAGGTAAGTGGAAGAGAGATCAATGTTAGGCACCCAGTAAAACACCAACGGGATGCGCAGAAGCAGCGGGGGCCAGATATCTCCTGAGTTTGAAACCCCAGCTTCACTATGCACGGCTCAACCTAGAACACCTCTCTGTGCCTCCATATCTTCATCTGTAAAATGGAGAGAATAACAGGCCCTACCTCATAGGGCTGCAGTGAGAATTAAATGAGTTAATGTAAGTTCCTGGAATAGTACCAGGCTCATGGTGGGCGACAGAGTGAATGAGGACAGGGCAAGGCTACTCAGAGGGGTGGTCAGGAAATGCCTGTGTGTTGAGGAAACAGTGAAGATCTAAGGGAGGTGCGTTCCAGGCAGCAGAGAACAGCAGGTGAAAAAGGTCTCAAGACAGGAAGTGAGCCGGGGTATGACCCAGAAAGAGGAAGCAGCCAGTGAAAAGCTGCCACTTAGAAACTCGCAGGCCATTGAACAGAAAGGGCTTTTATCCTCAGGATCAAGGTAAGCCATTGAAAGATTTTCAGCAGGGGATGGAGGGCAGGAGGGAGGGAGGGAGGGAGGTTGGGCATGCTCTGATTTCATATGAAGGAGGATCAGTCCAGCTTTATGTCATGTGGAGAAAGGACAGTGTGACAGGCGGAAAGAGACAACACGGGAGTCAGCTGGGAGGAGGAATGGAGGCAAGATCCCATCCAAGACCAGGGACCCACTATTGAGAATGAGACAGGACACTTCAAATCCTCCTCCATCTGCGGTGTGCAAGGACATCTGGGCAAAAAATATGAAAAAGATGATTAAACTTTGACATGAGAGAGAGACTACAGCAGATGGCCTGTGGGCCCTAGAGGAGAGACATGATCTAAGCAATTTAGAAAAGCTACATCTCCCCTTGTAATTTACAAAACACTACAATTTACTATTGATATCCATTACACTAACATCAACTGAGTGCTTACTTCGTGCCCGGAGTAAGGTGCTAAATTCATGTTCTCATTTAATTCTCACAAAATCTCTAGCCATCCATTCAACACACGTGTATTGCCAGGCACTGTTCTAGATACAGACAGAGTTGCTGCCAGCACAGAGCTTGCCCTCTAGAGGCAGAGACAGAGCCTACACAAGGAAACAAAAATATTTCAGTGTGATGAGTACTATGAGGAAGACAGAGCAGACTGGGGGGGTGAAGAGGGGTGGCGGGAGGAGCAGCTGTCTTAGGAATGGTGGTCAGAGAAGACCTCCCTGAGGAAGTAACTCGAGCTTTGACCACCACGTGAGAGGTAACCCTAGAGGAGCAAGAGTGGTCACTAAGGGTCCAGACGCAAGGCTGGAGATGGTGGGGAAACTGGCATTCAAGATGGATTCTGAAAGAAAAACAAAGAGGACTTAGTAGAGAACTAAATGTGGGGTTGCAGAGGGGAAAGGGACTAGTACTGATGACTACAAGGTTTTGCACAGAGCACCATTCCTTGGGTCCCATTAATAAACATTAGGAGAACTGGAAGGTGAGCAGATTGGGAGGCAATTTATGGAAACAGATGCTGCTATTCACATTTTCATTTTGCAGAGAAGCAAGCAGCTTTCGAGATCGAATAACCGGCCCAAGCTCACCCAACTGGCGAGTGGAATTACATACTTTTTCTTTTACCCTCACAGCACCTCCTGAGTATTATCTCCTAGGATAGCCGAGGAAAGTGAGGCCCAGCTAGAAAGGGGCAGTCAAGAGCAGATATCAGATCTAATAGCCGATATATTTTCCAATAAAGGAGACAGGTTGGAAGACTGACAAGGGAAACCTAGGAGACAGGTAGAAGAGGATCTGAGGTTTGAATAAAATCGCGCCCTCAAAAGGTTCGCTTTCAAAGTTCTGAAATTCCCCAGTAAGATTCCAGGACAAACGCCATAGGCTGGGAGCTGCGGGAAGGGCAGCACTGTCGCCCACCGTAGGAAAGTGCTTCCTGAGTGGCCACTGAGCATCACAGCTGCTGATTTAACATGCCCGTCCGTGGGCTCCACATACTTGAATCTGCATTTTTCAAAGGAGGGCTCCCGACATCCTCGACGTACAGTAAAGTTTGAGAACTACATTAGCAGGCTGGACAGGTCGCTTGACAGCTCTAGACCGCGGTTTCCCAAACTGGAAAAGACGGGGGCGGAGGGAGCGGGAGAATAAGAATAAAATCCGCCTCGGACGCTCGACTTCAGAGACTCGAATCACGTGATGGGCTGGAGAAGGCCGGAGCGACTGCGTACAGAGGGGCCGAACGGCCCGCAAGGCATTGTGGGACATAGGGGGGCCGTCAGCCGCTCCCGCCTCCAGCTTTGACGGCACGGCTGCCACGTTGCAATAAACCTAAACGCCTTCTCGGGGCGTTGCCGGGTGCCCCCGGGCGTAACTGTAAACACCCTTCTTGTGTCTAAGAGCCGACAAGGCTAATGAAGCCACCTCCCAAAGAGCAGTGACAAACTTCCGGTGTGCCTTCGCTTTACGACTCGCGTTCCGCCGCCGAACCCAAAGGAAGCGGCAGCGCAGTTTACGGCAGCGCCGGTCAGGTTTACGGCGCCGGTCACTGCGCGCGCACCGTCCCTCTTTTCCAGTCGCCTCGGAGTGCACCAGGTAGCGAGCTGTCTGGCCTGGTCTATCTTTCGCCATCCGGGCCGGCCGAGGCCCGTGCAGGTGAGTGGCGTGTTCCGTAGGATTCCGGGGGCCTCCGGAGCCGGCTTGGGCTGGGCCCGGCTTTCAGAGCCTCCCGGAAGAGACCCCCCGGACGTCCCCTCCTGCTGCCGCTGTCCCTCCGCTGGAAGTGGCAGGAATCCGCCTTCCGGGCCCTAGTCCAGCGTGCGGGGTGCGTGAGGTCCCTGGCTGTAAACTCCGCTTAGTGGGCGAGGGCTGAGCGAATTTAATAATGTCATTTGACCCAGCTGGGTCTCCGGGTCTTTTAAGTGGCCAAAGCTTGAGTTTCTGAGAATGCCAAGCGAATCGGTGTTCGGCCTGCTCTGAGGAGTTCCCAGACTGAAGGTTTCCTTCCTTTAGTTTAATGTGAAGCAGAAGCTAGGATGGAGCATGTTTGAGCTCAGATCCGAACCACCGGGGCTTGATGGGGCACGACCTGTAGTGACAGCGATAATTACACAATACGGTGGCCGCCTGCAACAAGGCCCCCTGACTGCCCTGTTGGTGCCCGCCCAGCTGTCAGGCCATTTTACTGAAGGGCTCGGTCGGCCCTACCTGTCCCATTCTGCTCACTTCGCACCTGTGGAAACCCGGACTTCCACCCCCAGGAAGAATGCCTGTTAAGCCCTGGACCTGTTCCTCCTCCAGCTGACAGATCAAGCCGACTTTTAAAGCGTGTTTTGGAGATATCGTTGTTGTGCTGTTAAACACAGTCTGAAACCCCAGATCTTTTCAGGCTGTTCTCCAGCCAGAATAGGATGGGAAGAATGCTGGACTTACCGCAGACAGCCCTGGGAATCGGGTCTATTTTGAAATGATGGATAGATTATCTCTAGATTTGGCTGAGCTACAAGTTTTTATCTCTAAAGTGGGGTGTGGGAGAGTCAGTGGTGTTGAGGTCTCCAGCACAGTGCCTGACACTGAGATACTTAGGTTCTGCGAGTGCCACCTCCCCTCCGGCCCTTTTTTTTGTAGTAAAACTTCCTAAGTTCAGAGTTGGCGGGTAGAGCTTGCAAGTTCATTTTCTCGCTGTCGCCCAACTCCAGTTGCTGGCACCTCTGTAGGAAGCCTTCGAATCCTTACTAACTTCAGTGTCCTGTGCTCCCTGATTGCTCTCTGGCCTCCAGAAATATTTGTATAATGAGATTTCCTCTGGGAACTCGCCATCTGAGCATATTCAGAGGGTTTTTGATAGAAACTGCCTGAAACATCCATTAGGAGGCCCTGGTTTTTACCCTCCTGAGAGGAGCTGTCGCATTAGGCAGCGTATGGACTCAAGCCAGACGGCCAGGGTTCATATTTTTCATCAACCAGCATTATGACTTTGGGCCATTTCTTTTCTGAAAAGTAGGGATAATACTGGCCCCTCCCTCAGACGGTTGGGGGGATTTAATGAATATGCATGGTAATCACTGAGAACAATGCTTGGTACTCAAATATCTATGAACATTTGATGTATGGCCACTTTTATGGCCTTTTGCTTAGCTCTGTGTCCACTTGCTCTGCATAAGGGTTTGCGTTGACAGCAGACTATTGGAAGAACAAGAAAAGAAAGTTGAATTTCAGGTTACACTTACAGACTCTTATTTTTCTCAGCACCCAGAGTAGATGTATTTTTACAAGTCTGAATAGTAATTGGGTAGCATTTACAATGAAAGAATTTCTGTGTGTTAGTTAATAAAACAACGAACTTATTTTACACATGAAGAAATGGGTTTAGAGAAGCTAAATATTTTATGTCTTGGCGAAGGTGTTTCTAAGAACCTGGACATGGTAATTACACTTGAAAAAAAAAAGTTACTGCATTTTATCAAATCTTTGAGACACCACCAAACTTAAGAAACACTGTTATTTTATGTAGCACCATTATTCTATATAACAGAAAGAAAAACTGCCAATTAAGATAATGACACTCCACCAAGCATGAGGTGCAAACTCACTTGAAAGATGTTACAGTGGGAAAAAGTCAATGAAGTGTAGTAAAGTAGTTTTGTTAGTAGTCTTCTCAGTTATAAGTATTCACATTATTTACAAGAAAACAAAGGAGCTCTAACCGGCTTGGCTCAGTGGATAGAGCGTCGACCTGCGGACTGAAGGGTTCCAGGTTCGATTCTGGTCAAGGGCATGTACCTTGGTTGCAGGCACATCCCCAGTAGGAGGTGTGCAGGAGGCAGCTGATCGATGATTCTCTCTCATCAATGTTTCTAACTCACTATCCCTCTCCCCCCCTCTCTGCAAAAAATCAGTAAAAAATATATTTTTTTTGTTTTGTTTTTAAATATATTTTTATTGATTTCAGAGAGGAAGGAAAAGGGAGAGAGATAGAAACATCAATGATGAGAGAGAAACACTGATCGGCTGCCTTCTGCACGTCCCCTATTGGGGACCAAACCCACAACCTGGGCATGTGCCCATGACTGGAATTGAACCCGGGACCCTTCAGTCCTCAGGCCGAGGCTTTATCCACTGAACCAAACCAGCTAGGGCTGGGGCTTGATTTTTAATCAAGACACTAAGGCAAGTCACCACCCTTCTCTGGGCCTCGGCATAACAAAGGCATAAATCAAAAACCCACATTCTCCTCCTGTGACACAAAGACGCGGGTTGTCCGCCTGCCAGCCTGCGAAGCAGCGACCTCACAAGCCAAAACCTGCAGCCGGTCTCAGTTCCCCACATGATGTCATGCATTCCTAGTGACGCAGGCGCAGAAGCTTTCTGCAGGACCCGCAGAAGGGCAGCCTTCGACTCCTCCCAATCCTGCCCCTCATTGGTTGGGGGTAAAATATATTTTTAAAAAAACAGAAGAAAACAAAGGAGTAGCTATGAGTTGAGGGTTCCATTTCATATGTTGCTTTTTAATTTAATCTATGTCTTAGCTTTCCTCAAATAGGCTTTTTTTTACCTTTAGGCTTTTCTTCATGAAGCTACTTACAGTATTTGTATATTTAAGGTTTTAGAAGATGGCAAAGTTCATGACACCCGTGATCCAGGACAACCCCTCAGGCTGGGGTCCCTGCGCAGTCCCCGAGCAGTTTCGGGATATGCCCTACCAGCCATTCAGCAAAGGAGATCGGCTGGGAAAGGTACGTGTCTGTCCGCAGGAGTCTGAATCTTCAAATCTGTGGCTGCTACCCTCCATGAGTTCATTTCCGTTTTATTCTCTCAAAAGCATTACTCCTGTGTTCCTTACGGGGACACCAGCTGAGAAAGGTTATGGCCTCTGGATTCCTCCAGTAGTCATAGGGGAGCTGGGCACTTACAAAGGCATTGTGAGCCGATCCTGCTGCTTTCCCACTCTGTGTCTCGCTTTGGGGGTTTCTGGGTCGACAGAAAATTGCCTGCTTGACCTGTGTGCTCTGTCTTCCCTTGTTGCTCTTACTAGGTTGCAGACTGGACGGGTACCACATACCAAGATAAGAGGTACACGAGTAAGTGTTCTCTGACTGACTGCCCGATCAGGTCCTTGGGAAAGTGGTTACTTTTTCTGGTAACCTCCACCTGAAAGTGTTCCAGAATGGTGATGAGATGCTGATAATACATAGTTTTAGGAGCTTATTCTAGACTGTGGACATTACCACATTTTTTGGAAGTAGCCCCAAAAGTTAGACTGTTCATTAAAGAAGTTTGACCTGTTATAGTGGGATTCCCACCCCCACCCCCCATTTTTGAGGAGCCATGAACCCTTTTATGTTCCCATTTTGCATTTCATTGCTTGGGGTTTACTGAACAGGTGAAGCCACGCAATGGATTCCAGTTTAAAATTCCTGGGTTTAATATACTGATACAGTAAATTGGTTTTTTTATCAGAGATAGTTGGAAGTGGCTCTCTGGAATAGTAAAGATTATCTGAGTCTGAGGGCAGCCATTAGACATGTCTGCCTTGGGCACCAGGTGATGAGAGTGATAGTACTTAAATCCCATATTTGCCTCCTGCAAGAATAAATTTCAACTCATATTCTTACAGACTAAGGCAGAGAGTGGAATGGGTTTATCTTGAGTTCCTCAGATTCTTTCTTGACTTTAAAAGTCTGTAGATCAGAACTCTTCAAACTTGAATGTGCATGAATCACCTGGGGGTCCTTTTTAAATGCGGTTCTGAGTCAGTGGGTCTGGGTGAGGCTGTGAGTCTGCATGTCTACAATGCTCCCAGCCAATGTTAGGGATCCACACTTAAATTGCAGGGCTTTAAGCTGGTGTGTATTTGTAGGTCTGTAGGTGGTGGTTGTTACACACTATCCCCTTTGCCTCCAGATAAGTACTCCTCTCAGTTTGGTGGTGGAAGTCAGTATGCTTATTTCCACGAGGAGGATGAAACGAGTTTCCAGCTGGTGGACACAGCGCGCACCCAGAAGACCGCCTACCAGCGGAATCGAATGCGATTTGCACAGGTAGGCCAGGAACCAGCAGTCGGACCACCTTAGGGCTCTCATCTGCTGCTAAAAGTGCAGCCCTGTGAGTGCTGATGGGAGGAAAGCATGTTATGGATCCTCTAGTGAACCCCAGGGAGCTCCTCAGTGACAAACTATGTCAACTTGACTGGGTCCAGGGATGCATTTAAATGGTTTAGATTTCTGTTGACCAGTAGGTAGGACATTATACCCCTGTGCTAAGAATGACGTTTGTGCCAGATAAAAGGTGTATCTATGCCTATTGCCTGACTTAATTGCTAGACTGCA